AAGTGATAAGTGCTTTGGAGAGTTCTGAAAAAGAAAAAGAATTAATAATGCCTATATTCAAATCATTAAGGAAATGTATGCAGGAGCTACTACTTGTCTTCAAACACAAGATGGTTTGACCAAGTATTTTCCTATTTTAGTTGGATTACATCAAGGATCAGTTTTAAGCCCATATCTTTTTGCTTTAGTCATGGATGCTCTTACTAGACATTTACAAGAGGATGTACCTGGTGTATGATTTTTGCTTATAATATTCTTCTTGTCGATAAGACTAGAGAGGGAATTGAAGGAAAACTTGAATTATGGAGGTCAACCTTAGAGTCTAAATGTTTTTGTTTGAGTAGACCTAAAACCAAATACATGGAGTGTAATTTTAGATCTAGTGGGGGGATTGTGATTTTGGACGATCAAATAATTAATAATAGTACACGTTTTAGATATCTCGAGTCTATTATTTAAAATGATGGTGAAATAGATGGTCATATTATTAGTATAATTCATATTGGGTGATTAAAGTAGAGGAATGCATTGGGCCTATTGTGTGATAGAAAAATACCCCTCAAATTTAAGTGAAAATTTTATAAGATGGTGGTGAGACTTGCAATGCTGTATGGCGCAAAATGTTGGCCATTAAAAGAGGAAGCATACAAGTTAATTGTTATAAAGATGAGGATGCTCAGGTGGATGAGTGGCTTCACTCTTAAAGATAGAATGCGAAATAAGTATACACGTGAAAAGGTTAGAGTAACTCCAATGGCATATAAGATTAGAGAGAGTCTCCTTAGATGGTTTGGAAACATAAAATGTCGGCTTTCCGATGACTCGGTTAGGGGAGTAGATGTATTAGATTTAACCTATGTTAAGAAAGGTAGAGGTAGACCTAAAAATATTTGGGTAGAAAGTATTATAAACGTTCTTTTCTTATTAGATTTAAATAAGAGTTTGATTCTTTATAGGACATAATGGTGAAAAAAGGATTAATGTAGCCGACCTTACGTAGTGTGATAAAGGTTTGATGTTGTTGTTGTATGTTGTTGTATATAAGTTCCTATGGACTTGGAGAGTGAAGCGATGTTGTGATTATTTTAGCTCTAGAATTCTCAAGCTCACAAGCAAACAATGATGACAAGACAAGATATTTTTATGTGGAAAATCCAAAAGTAAAAATTTATGGGGCCTAATCCAAATGATGAACTTCTATTTTTAGTAATGTGTAATTAACAAATTATATTACTCTAAATTAGAGGGACACAAGGAAAAATGTTTACAACAAAAGGATAGATCAATTGGGTGGTTGTCATTAGATGCATTTGGGTGTCCTAGGATGCTAGACTTTGTAGCAGCAACAAATAAGGCAGGATCAATATGGGAGCTCATGAGGGATGTTGGCTTTGTGCCAGTGAAGACGGTTAGGAGGATATCAAGAATTTCAACCAATTTGAAGCCAAGGAAGAAAGTTGACTAGATATTAGAGAAAGAGTCCAATTGTACATCTACAAAGGAGGTGACTCAGGGGTCGATGAGTGTGGCTAGCCAAATAGGGAGATTGGCTAATTACATTGATAGGTTAAACCATATAAGGTGATTGGTTAGGAATGGAGATTAGTCAAATAGGGAGATCAATGAGGCAATGTGACTGATTAAGGCATTAGGCAGCGAGACCAATTAGGCAAAATGCTGACCAGGTAGGAAGATTGACCAGCCAAGCACTAGGTGAAGAGATCAATCATGTTTAAATGTGTTGTGCAAGACGATATATTTAGTAGGAATCTAGTTAGGACGAATTTGATTGGGCTAGGGAGGCTTGCCAGACAAAGTGTGACAAGGGAAGCTAGTAGGGTGGTGAGAGAGTGGTAGATATATAAGGATAATACAATACAATAAAAGGATAACTACCAGTTCCTCACCAATGAAAGGGCTTCAGTCTACCTCACCAAAAGAAGAGATTCAAACTAACCAATAAGCTAAATTTGGAAAGTGCAACTCCAATTTCTATTAAAAGAAATTATGAAATACAAGCCTAGGATCCATGAATATATATAGGATTTCTAATACATACATCACAAGAGAAGTTCAAGCATTGCATAAAGTCTAAATGAAGAGAGGAGGCCGTTGGCTGCTTGCTACAAGTGCATAAATTTGTCTCCAACGGTGGAAGCTGATTCCAAGTTTGCATGAACCATCATCCTTGAATGTGAAATAAATATTGGATAAAAGTAAGCTATTGTACACTTGTTTGACTTTATGTTGGTTGAGATAACTAGTTAGATCTAATGCAACATTCTTTTGAAATGCCAAATAACATACAAGTATATACTAGCCTTCTATAAAATTGATAAACAACCTTTAAGGAGAAGAAAAAACGGGAGAGTTAAATAATTACCACAAATTCAAGATGCATGCCAACTAAGTGCTAGTATTGTTAACAACAACTTTGCTCCTCTTGAAGTTGAATGTTATTGAAGGAATTTGCAAGGCCTAGGAAGACGAGGTTTTATAGAGTTGCATAAGGATTCCACTCTTTCTGATGCTGAGTTAGATGATTATGATGGCACCCCTTTAGATGTGATGAGATGTTTGATTTTAGGAGTGATTGAGAAGATTGGAGGCGGCAAAATATGCTTCGTAGGCTAGCATTTCATTGGAGTACCATGAATATGATTTCAACTCATACTCCTGCTTGACAAATCTTAAACGTGAACCAAATCCAAATCCCTTCCATATTTGTTGGGTTAATCATACATACTTCCTGTTATTATTAGTTGTTTGGTTCCAATCAAGTTGGGGTGTTACGTAGCTTATATTCGGTTTGATATCCTTCCAAAGGCCATTGCCAATATTCCGTTAGGAAGGTTTTGTTTGTGTGACATGAATGCCATATATTACGATATGTTTTCAAATTTAAGAATTTAATCATAAAATTTATGAGAGAAGTCCCCCAAACAATCTTCTCATAAATCATCTTCTATATTCAAATCAAATCATTTTCAATGAAAAATGCAAATCTTGAGTTGATTGTCTTAGGTTTTTTTATTGATAGGGTTTGTATCTCTGTTAGTGATTCTACTATATCTATGTTTCCTTCTTTTAAATTGAAAAAGTTTCTTGTCAAATTTAAAAAAAGGGTTTTTATTTGACTTATTTTCATCTCCATGTGAAGGAGGGCACACTCTCTTATGTTGATGTGTTTTATCACCTGTTGTCTCACAACTCTTGTATGAGTTTAGTGATATTTCTCAAATTGAATTGCCATATGAACTTTCTCCATGATGCAAATTCACTTGCAATAGATTTTCTTCTAGGGTCTAAATTTCCGAATCATCAACATTATGGAATGAGCCATGTTGAAATATTGAGCTAAAAATGCAAGTAAATGACCTTCTTAGGAAAGGTTTTTTAGAGAAAGTTTGAATTTTTGTACTATCACTACACTGTTAACACAAAAAAAAAGTTCTTAAATGATATGTATTGATAGCACATCATCAATATGATCACCTCCAAGTTATATATTTCTTATATCTAAATTTGATGGCATTCTTGATTATATTTTAGGTGCTAATTATTTTTTTCAAAATAGATATTAGGAGTGGATAATAAAATCCAAGCCTCTTACTTGTCACCTAAGTCGGAAGGGTGAATGCCAACTTAACATGTTATCTAATGAGTACGCCCTACAGTGAAGGATAGTTTTTGAGTCCCATTTAAGATTGGTACTCTTCGACGGATAGGCTAGGAATGGCTAACTTGATCTTCAAAATCTTAGTCAATCAAGTCTCAATTTTCCACCCCCTCGCCAACTTCACAAAAAAAGTAGTTATTTCTCTGATCTTTATTTTTTTGCTCAAGCCTCAATCTTAATACTTCTATAAATGAGCATGATTGGACCCTCCTTGAACACCTTCACCATGAACAATTTATTGAAGATGCTCTGGTTTTACTTCATATTTTATCCACAGAGGTAGATGACCAAGAAAACCACACTAGCAAATGAATTCATTATTACCTGAGCCAGAGTCAGTTCGTAGAGTTTAGAATTTTGACGATCTTCTAGAAAAATGAAAGTTGCAACGTAAGTCTAAATTGAGCCTTATAGAAGCTTCACTCACATCTCAGTAATGGATCAAGAACTTGTCCCCTGTAGTTAGTTCTTAGATGAGAACTCGTCCCTAACCTTCCGCTTGGCTAGAAGAAGCCTTATGCTATATGCCTTGATGGATGTGTTAATCGCCATTATGCTTTCACAAAGCTCTCAGTGCAATTGATCAGTGAAGTGACGTCTCTAAAACAAAATTATGTGTTAGGAGAAAGCAAGAAGAAGATAGAAGCAGAAGCTATAGATGTAGAAAACATAAAGAGATATAATGCAAAAAATCCATCCTTATTATAGACACGAGAACATGAAAACCCTATTACATCAATACGGTTGATTCATTAATCTTAATCATAATCATAATCATTGATTTGACAATCAAATATTTGGAAAAAACTTATACTTACATATCGACTCGGGAAGTCCAAACGGCAGATAGGGAACCACTTTCGACTGAGTCATGCTTATTTTCTCAACGATTCAAAGATGACTTCATAGGAAATGTCAAATGTGAGGTTTCATAAGGACCGACCAACTTCACAGTAGCTGACTTCATTCTGAATGTTTTCTACTCAACGAGGTCTGACTTCTCATATGCAAGGTGAATATACAAAGGAAATAATTTTAATTTCTAGAAGTTTTTAAGCGTATCTTATAATCATAGATAAATTTAAAAAAGAAAATAAACTTTCATTTCATTGAAGATGAAAATTCTATTACATCAAATCAAAGAAAAGAAATTGAAACGCCCAATGCTTCAACTAACATCCTTTATTAACATTATTTGTATCTTTATGAAACTCAAAAAAATAAAAAAAAAGGGGTGATGATTACCACCAAGGCTCAAGTCCAGCATTTGGTGGATGACTTGGACCAACAGTAGATATCTTGAAGTTATCATAGAGAGACAATGAAGCTCCTCTCATCATGCAGTGAAAACATGGATCAAATGCAATCTCGTGAGGGGATCTCATCATTCGATGAGCTGGTGAAGAATGAATCCTTGCTGCAAATTGGTTCATCATTTATGTCTCCGAGAACTTTCTCATCAAGATGGTTCTTTCCTAAGTTCATTGGCCTTTGATGAATATCATTAGCAAACTTCTAACGCAACACGAAAGGGTGAGGGCATGCCAATTCAACTTTGCCTCAATCCGGATACGACGATCACTATCAATTTGGGTAGAAATTTGAGCGTAACAATTATCTGTTAGAAGTCATCAAGCCCTCAATCCTAGCACACAGAGTCATAACCAGACTTATTGGGACTTCTTCTTCCTAAGAGTACTATTCTCAAAGAAGCGCAGTGCCAAACAAGATCTGTTCAATTTCACAATCATAGCACCACTTTTGTTTGTTCAGCTAGATTTATCTTATTCACTTAAAAAAATTATGTAAGATTCTTGGTTGTGTATAAGTCCATTTGAAGGTACGATTGGAATGGAAGATTTAAGTTTGGTTATGATTCCTAAATATGTAGGATGCAGTGAAAAATAATTCATGGTTTTTTTCGTGAAAATTAAATGGTATGATGGATATTTGATTGTACAGCAGGTGAGATGTTTAGCTTTAAAATTTTATTTGGAGCATTTTTTTCTTCTGTTGTTGGCAACTTACTTATAAAGCTATAAGTTGAGTGACATGCTGTTCACCTGTAGAAGCATCTTAAGTTATTTGAGTAAGCGGCTACTTTATGCACAGTTTTTTTTGTCATTTTCTGCTTTGAAACTAACCTGCTTTACTGTGCTTAAATATAATTTGTTTTCCTTAGTTCAGCTGGCAACTTATGTTTAATCTTATTATGATAATTTTGATCCTTACAAAACCTGATGAGGGGTTCTTCTTCTTCTGCAGTCGTACCTTCTTGTCAATCATGGGTGGAGTGGTTGCCGGAATTTGGGGTTTTACAGGCTTAATGGGCTTTGTGTTTTACTTGTTAATCATGGCAATTGCTTCCTTGGGACTTTTGGCTAAGGCCAAATTCTCTGTCGGGAACTACTTTGATTCTTGGAATAGGATTATACTGGATGGATTCTTTGGTGGTCTCATGGTATGATTCCAGATGCTTACCTGCCTAGTTCTTTATTGTTGTTCTAGTAGATTAATTGATGCTTATAATAAGCTGATCTTATTACAACTGCCTTGGAATATATATCTCTAATTTATCAATGGAAGAGTTTGATGTCTTTCAAGGTTTCAGTTCACTTCTTAATTTTATTTAAATTAATTTGATTTATGTTGAAGACTTAGTCTAGATGATAGAAGTTCTGGAGCTTTTTATCTGTCATATTATAGTAAGCAGGAACTAGTTAATGAGGATAGGGGAAAAAGCAATTGCTCTTGGACAGCCTCATAGTGAAAATAGAATATTTCAGATCTTTCCTTTTTTTTTTGTTAAGGAAATACTGGTACAAATTGTGGAGGTGGGGTGGTCTAAGTGCGTTGGTATACTGATGAGGACATCGTCAGAGATTGCGACACATGTACCATCAGGAGATGCCGGAGATCGACGACCACGATCATGATCTTTATTTTCATCATTTTATGTAGTAGTTTATTTGATTTTTATGTTTTTCCGTTTTTGCCCTTATGGGTATTTGGTCGTTATTGTAGACCGAGGGGCATTTTAGTCTTTTGCTTTCTTGTCATTTTGAGGCCTATTTATATGGCCCTTTTCTTATGTAATAGCTTAGTTTTTGATGAATGAAAATTTGCCTCTTATGATTCTCTTTGTGAGTTCATGAAGCCTCTAAAGATCTCTTTGTGAGTTCTTAAAGAGGAGATCGCCGGAGATCTCTTTGTGAGTTCTATCGGTAGAGTGGTGATCAAGGTTATTCATTTGAATTTTCTTTATTTCTTTTCTCTCCAAACCTTTCTTCCCCCACCTAGCCGAAACCTCCTTCTTTTCTCACTTCCCCACCACCACCCAAGCTCCACCGGCGGCCTCCCTTGGCCGGCCCAGCCACCGGCGGCCTTCCCTGAAACCCAGCAGCCGGCCATCCCTCCCTCCCACTCCCACAGCCGCACCACTTCAGCCACCCGCCCACTTGTTTTCAAATTTTGAAATCCCAGGCTAAGGGTTTAATTGCTTTCCTATTTTACATCCTCTGCTATTAAGAAATTGGATCGGTTATATTTTCTATCATTTAACGTGAGTTTGCCAATGCCTAGCAGTCAAAGCATTTTAGGAAATCTCTCTGTAACGTAAACCTGAGAATCAATCCTCAGGTTTGTTGAATATCCCGTGAGCTCCACCTCCATTTAATTCCCTCCCATATTAAATTCCTGTAACCGTTTTATTAATTTTGAAATTTCCTACTTACGCAATCACCTCTTAATTCTTACCAAATTCAGCCTTTAATTGTGAAAGCCAAATTCTGTCCCGTATTCCCCTGTTGGCTGAATTTTTTTTTTTTTAACACCGTTACATTGATTTTCTATTCTAAACCCTTCCCAAACTCCTCCCACATGGAGTCTGCTGTTTTTTAAGAGTGCCATCAAGGAATTCCAACCCTTGCTCTCACGTCTCCACAAGGCGTGAAGAATCCTTCCAATTTTCCCTTGCTCCTAAGCCATTCCTCTCAGGTTTTGAATAAAGAACCTGAAAGAAATTTTCCCAATTCTTTTGTGCATCTTCCCGCCCGACAAGAATGTATGGCGGATTCCGCTGTTGATCACGGAATTGAGATCGACGAATACGGCCACGTTCATATCCTTCGATCGCCGTTCTTCGACGTGGGATTTGGATTCGACGGCAACGTGGAGGATTACTTAAATCGGATCCTTCCTACTCTTGTAGACGCCGTTGACGAACAATTCTCAGATTACGAGTGAATCATCCAAGGTCGTTCGCCCGCTTCTCCAACTCCTGCTTCCTCCCCGGCGACAAGTCCTCTCGGCGTCACATGTATCTTGGTGGTATCGCTAAGTTGGCTCACTATTCTCTTCCTCTAGCTCCACTTCAAAGAGAGATTGCCGAACTTCTAGGTGAATGGTCTAAATTTTAAACGTGTGGCTTTCGTAATAGCTATTCTCATTACTTTTTCTTTTGGTTATCTTTTGCAAGACTCTTGTAATTCTCAAGTGTAATCAACACCTTAATTTAATCAATCACGAATTTTTCTTGAATCCAACTTGAGTAAGCTAGATTTTATCGTTAGCCTTGCAACGTTTACACTTCCATTAATATCTAACGTGCAATTCATGTTGTTTCACATCATATACCCATCCAAAGCAGGAATTAAACTGCTCATATATTCTAAGATTCAATGTAGGAGGGAGAAACAATCCATATAACACTTGGAGAGGTCTTATATATATATACATATTATTTGTACTTTTTAAGAAATAATTATTTTAGAAATAATATGGTAATAAAATCAATTTTCAATTACAAGCCAAACGCTCACGTATGGGAAGGATTTTTTTTCATTATGTTACTTATGCTGTGTAATATATACTTGCATAGGCCAACTAATTAGCCTTTGTTGCAAGTTGAAACAATTATCTTTCATGTCGTATTTGTAATTTTTGGGCATTTCATTTTAATTGTTTTAAGGAATTTTGAAAAATGAAATGAAAGAGAAGCCTAGTGGCGTCAACAGACAATTGGCCTAGACCTTCAAATGAGGAAAAAGGACCTAGATTTGTTTTGCACTTTTTTCGAGAAAATCTTCCATATGAGTTCATTTTTAATATTCTTTCATCTCAGTAAACCATTTTAATTTAAACATTTTTCATTTTTCTTGCAATATTATTTACATTTTTTTAATTTGTGCATATTACTTCATCATAGTAAAAATAGTTGGTGGTGAAATCCAATTGTGCAAGAAAAGATTAAAAATAAGAAGATTTGTTGTAAAAATTGGTTTAATTTTAAAAATTATGATAATTGAAAAATATATAAAGTGGCTCGTAAGGATTCTAAGAAAGCATTATGCTATACAAAGACATTAGCTTTTAGTGATTTATAAAATAGATTAAATACTAAGGAGGGAGAAAGATATATG